CCGCTCTTTGTCACTTCCTATCACTTAGCAAGTGTCCAGTGGCATCAAATAAAACCATGAGGTAACATGTTCAAAACAAACCAGCATAGATTTTGACACATTGTACAGATCAACTGCAAAATGCCTTGCCACACAACACAGAAGTGTACACATTGACAGTGCGATGGACTCTTGTTCCATTAAACACAAAAATGCCATCATTGGTTCAAGAAGTCCCAAAGTATAAATATTTGTAGGCTGGGAAAGTATTCTGTGAAAGCATACAAGAACTTTCCCAAGAATCCATTCAGTTCATACTGATAAAGAGAGCAGACCAAATGCTGTATGGCCTCCATGATATGCTCCTCTCCTCTTACTATCTCAGGCTGGTACTTTCAAGTTCTGTGTAAGATCCATGACAGTACTGCTCGAAGAATGCTTTATTTATGGTATCACTGAAAACTGTACCTCCACATTTGCCATAGATGATACTGGAGAACCCAACATTTCCCCTCAGCAACTGCACTGATAACCACGATTAAGGTACAGTAGATGTCTCCAACCAAAAATATAAAACCTAAAAAGCAAATCTAAAGAAATGCTGATCTTCAGAAAGTCAGATAAGCAACACACAACCACACCATATGCCACCATTGTCTAGTCAATCAGTAATACTTAAAAAACAACAGAAGTTTAATTCCCAGACTACTTTTGTTATATTTATCATATAGTCCCCCAGAGTTCTTAAAGGCAAGATAACACCATTATGTAAGAGCTATAACATTAGGCTGCTTTTGGTTACAGTTGTGCAACAGACTTAAGACAGCTAATGTGCAGGCTGCTGCTAAAAGAATAGGCCCGGCCATTCCCCTCTATCAGGGTTAACATGGTCAGCTGGGTCAGGGAACTGATTTCATTTAGCTGATAAGGAACCCGGGGCAGGGGGAGGTGGGGTGGTAAAAAAGTTTTAAATGCTCATACCATCACCACGAAGGAGGAGGTTACATATAGCAAGGACCCTCCCTGCAGTAACAGCGTCTTACTGCAGGTTAAGAAAATTGTAGAACCCTATAGTAAAAGCTCAATAGAACAAAAACCATTAAGATTCCTGACATAAAAGAAAATACAGTATCTTCAACACTCAAACAAAACGCATTTCCTCACATTATTGAAAAGCAAATGTCCAGAAGACTGTTACAAAAAAAAAAAAAAAATTTTTTTTTTTAAAATCCACAAGAGCAGCAGACCCTGTATGACCTAAGTTATCTGTGCATATCCAAAACAAAAACTGCACTGGTTTTCTGGCTACAAAATGAAATTACTTGTTGCCAGAAGGCAGAAAGAAGCATAACTTTATATCACTGACATAAAATCAGTAATTTCTTCACTTGTTCTGAAAAGCTAAGACTATTTAATTATTTCTATACTTACAGAAAGACTTCGTAATTACCAATTTCTAAAGCTGGATCCTTACAAGGTTTTATCAGAAATGTTTGTTTCAAAGTTACTTCAGGAATACCTGCCTCTTTTTATCATTTCCCTTGGCAACAAATGGTGCCAAATGGTACAACATTAAAAAAATTCCAAGTATTAACCTACTATAAATATAGTTTTAAACTGGCAAGCCCATTACATGACTTTCAAAAATATTTCCTTAAGTATGAAACTCTTCTAGTATAATCCCTTGTAAGGCAACTCTTTGAAAAGAAAGCTTCAGGTTAAGAGTGTACATTTCTGAAATGCAGCATCAGTTGGAGTTCATATTTTCCAAGGTTTACATCCTTCTGTAAATCTGTTATTTAAAGGACATTCGGTCCATAAGGTAGAATTTACTGTATTCAACACAATGGACAAGATCTATTACTGAGTCAGGGATGTTTCCAGAGGTGAAGTACAAATTCTTACGAAGACTTCTTTGCTGTGAAATTTTCACTATGAAGCTTTCACTGATGACAATAGTCATGAAAATTATAGTAGGGACAATAGTGTTCATACAGTGTAACACCGGTGCTATTTAAACTTACATAACTTCAATCTTATATAGTAATTCACTCTCAGATAAGAATTGATAATTACAACTAATACAGCTATAAGAGAAATAACTAATAGGATGCTGAGATCTTTGATGAACACTGTCAAAATACGTTCTCAAGACTTTATGCAAAGAAAAAGTTTCAAAATTACCATAGAGAATAGCAAGGCATTTCCAAACACTACTTTAAGTATAAAACCAGAAAACACTTCAGCTACTTCATACTCCACAAATTTTACTGTATATTTTAAGAGGTTTGAGGCTTTCTTATTGCTTAGTTCCTAAAAAAACAAGTGTCCAGCTGCCATTTCTGAAGACACGAATTCAATACTGCCACGTATCAACCTGAGAGGAAGAATAGTTTTAGGGCTAAAGTACTGGGCTGGCACTTAAGATGGTACCTTCACTGACACACAGCCTCAATATAATCTCCCAACATCACAAATGACGCTAAGTCCACTAACATGTTTGAGATAAGCAGACACTAGAATGGTGAACGCTAGAGCATGTACTGTACTTTGCAGTCAAAGTGTAGACAAGGGAAAGGATAGATCAGCCTGAACACAAGCAGGCTCTGTGTTCCTACAACTCCACTGCAACAGAAATAGCAAAGCTGCATCAACACTAAGCTAAGATATAAATTAGTTAGAATATTACATGTGCAGCATAAAACATCCAGAATACAATTTACACAGACTGTCCAAATGAAACCCAGAATCCTGATGACACTTTCTCCTCTCAGAAGAAAAGGGGCTCAGTATCAAAATGACCAGGCTATTTACAGATAGATGATGGACAGGAATTTAGAAGTATCTAGTAAAGAGAGAAGGAGGAATTCCAGAAGTGATTGAAAAGTTAATTGAAATTTTTCACTCATATCATGCAGCTATTAGTGTAAACACAATCACAACAAAGTCTTTAGTGGAGATTTCCTCTAGCAGTTCTACTCAGCAGGAGCAGAACTGATGATAACCTAAATGATGAATTAGAAAGATGCAAGGGACAGGTAATCATTACTGCAACTTTTCAGCTCTAACTTCTTTGTTACAGAATCTATTGGTAAATCAGGCATGAAAGAGCTATCCTTTCAAAATGCACTGGTGCATTCAGTCTGGGCTACAAACATAAAAATTCCACTTTCCTCCATGAATGGTGCACTTTCAACAGCTTTCTATAAACAAATTCCAGCTAAATACACATAAAATTTATCCTTTTTACCCACTGAAATCTTATGTTAAAATGCAGTTTCTCCTTCACTGTAACGTTTTTCTAAAAATAAAACTAAGAATAATGATTTATGTTCTCAAACTAAATTCAACCTAAATTGGACAAATAAAGATTACTGTAAAATAGTTCTCTCTTTCCAAACCAGCCAGTGTTTTCATTTATGTTTAGGATAACCACAATTTTTTTTTCACACACTTATTTCCCTCATACAAAATAACAGAGTTCACAAAAAGTAAGAATAAAACTTACCCCCATTATCTGTTCTCTTTAAAGCACCATCTTTATGAGGGCATAATTCACATCTCTAGGAAAAGAAAAAGCAAAAATAAAATTAAAAAATGGAATGACTATAGGAACATTGAAAAAGAAACCACACACATCAAAACTGTTAGCTGATATTAAGGAAGCAACCATTCTTTAAAAGTGAATGGGTGTGTTTTCCCTTAACCTTTAATATTCATGTTAGTTTGTCACAAACAAAGCTTTCTCCCCCAGATCTTGAAACTATGATATAAATTAAAGCTACTTGCAATTCTACCTCCAAGCTTTTATTCCTGGATTACACACCCTGAAATTCTGGAGACAAGCCTCCAAAAACTATAGCATGGCATAAACTTGCTTGATAAGAAACCTAGGCACAGTCCAAAGACTCCCTACTGTATTTCCTTCTCCTAGGATCTCTGTGTTCACCAAGGTGGTCAATCACAAAGACGTGCCACGGATATAATCAGCACAGGTGCACTTACTACAGCTGACTTCACAGTCCTCTGCTGACTCTCACTTACTCTGAGAGACAAAAACCGATCTTGCTTTCTCTCTCAGAAAAGGGATGTCAGAAGTTGATTCATCCTTGAAATTCTCCAAGATTACATGTCTGGAAACATCCAGTTTGACATCATATTCTTCCAACACACACCACGATCACAGCAGTACAATCTTTCTTTTATTGCTCCCTCTATCAAGTTCCTAATGTCAAGTTTATCTCTAAGTGTCTTAGAGCAGGGTGAACCAATTCCAAATCATTTCAGAGATGACAGAAATGAAACAGGTTTGACGCACATTCCATTTCAACTGCTCCAAATGACATGCAAAGGAACACCACTACAGAAGGTTCTATACCTAGGAATTACCTTATTAAAACCTTTACGAACTCCCAAATTAGGGACAACACAAAGCACACCAATCTAACAAGCTTTTCAAGAAACCCAAGAACAGTCTGATCATCAGACACAAACTTAGCACCACATCCTTCAAATGGAGAGGGACATCTGGCATCAGCACAGATGTTCTCTGCGTTCCATGAACAGTACTATGCTCCGTTACCAGCTAACTTGCAAGTCAGCAGATAAAGGAGCCTATGATGCTAGAAATGCCTCAGAAACAGATTGTCCAAACTTATTTGAAGAATGAGAAATTCAATTCCTGAAATTCATATGGCTGAAATATATCTTGAGGACTATCTATTCCTCTTAAACTGTAAGAAAATTTATATACACAGCAAAAAGGCTTTCACAAAGGTAGAATAGAAAAGTTCTTAAATTATTTTTGCTCAATACGTTGGTATAGACAGCTACATACAGGAAAAAGAATCTTTAGGATTGCTGCTTTTTGTCTTTTGCTTCACTCATTACTCCCTTACATTCACTCACTAAAATGATCAGCAATTTACTGAAACGCAGTATTAAGCCTATCATGAAATTTAGAGATAAAAATGGTTGAAAACTCATGAACCATTCTATAAGCTGCCTGCAGACTGGGAGCACTACACCATTTTTTTTAAAGTCAAGATTATAAGGACTTCCTTGCAACTGAAATTAACCAATCATTTAATTTTAAACAAAATCCTACCTATGCAGTATGTATGTGAGCTGTATCTTAACACTCCAGCTTTCCAAATATTAAATGTTGGGTGCTGAGAGACACTCAGTAGCAGTAGGTTCATTTCAGTGAGTTCCCCATACACTAGATCAGATTCTTAAAGCAAGAAGACTGGTACGTATTGGTGGTGACAACACAATAAAGTTTGTTCCCACCCCAAAGCTGTGAGCTGGCAGCTTAAGGCCAGTGATGTATCTACCGCTGAGACAAGGGAAGCTGTTAACATCGTCTACCTTGCCCCACCTCTGCAAACCTGTGGAAGTTTGACATACATTTTCACTAGTGGCAAAACCAGTTTTGGAGGTTCTCTTCTTCCCTCCACCTCTCCCTTACTAATCACTCCCTCCACCACTCCCTCAGCTGCTGACCCAACTATCTGTAGTGTTGCACCTTAAACCAGATCAGTGAAATGGAATGAAATTAACTTTTTCTTTTTAACATTCTTAATTCAGGTCATATCACTGATACAATTTAAGCATAATCCCACAATCAGTCACATCAGCGAAACTGAAGGCAGGGAACCATAGGACTGGGGCATTAATAATTAAAGAATTAGCAAACTTCTTGAGCAAACTTTACCACAAAATAAAAAAAAATATTATCACAAAACATTGAGTAGGAAGGAACTAAACCACTCCTTTATGCAGAAGAGCTAAGAGTGCTCCATTCAGTCTCTTCAGAGCTCAGTTTCAACTAATTTCTTTTTTTGTCTCATATCTCTAATAGGACTCAGGTCCACTAGGTCTTTCCTCATTACTCCCCTACAGCCTGGCTGCAACTAGTCAGAGAAGATACAAGACAGCAAACTGAAATGCAGTTGGGAGTTTTGACAGCAGAAGATGACTTGAGTGCAGTGAGTTCTGCAGAGCATCCTCTTGCTGGCAGGGAGCAGTCTGCCTGCACTTGGGTCTCATGGAGCTGGACAACTGTGCAGAGATGCTTGCACTCTGATCACAGAGCACTTCTGGTGCTGGGAACTCTGGCTACAATCTGCAATAAAGTAGCACTCTAGTAAGCTAACACACCACATAGTGACCCTTTCCACTTCCTCCTCTAGGTTATGAAGCTAACTCCTTCCCAGCCTCCACACTCAGATTCTGTCACCCATTTCGGCTCTCCCAAGTTTCACTGTGCACCACACAGTAACACCAGTAGCTTTGCCAGGTGGGAACAGTATGCCTCATCCCTTGAGATAAGTCACTAGTAGAGAAGTTTTCCTTTTTATTTTTTTTTTTAAACTTACACTTTATTACTAGTTCTAAAATCTTACAACAATATAGCATTTCCAAAAGAAATTATAATTTCAGCTGAGAAACTGCAGTGACTGAAGAAAACCTTAGGTACTTTCAAAATGTTTAAATGGATGTTGTTACAAAGGATTCCACAGGAGAAAGGAAAGGAGATAGTTGGGTATGTATATACCTCAGAAGTCCAGTTATTTAAAATTTCTTATTTGAATGTTTTTGTCCACACAGTGTCTCCTTCTTCCAGATTACTTATGGATGGAGCTTGGAGTTTAAGTGAACAGCAACAACTGAATCTCTCTACTAAATGCCATGTCACAAACAACTTGTATGATGGAATAAAGCTTTGATCTCTGCAACACATTATAAAGAATAATGATCTCTAATATTTTAGCACACAGACCATGCCAGGGTTCTTATCCAGTTGTGCGTTTTAAGTCTTAGAGCTGGCAAAGGATTTCTGACACAGATTTATTGTCTAAGCATTCAAAAACACTGTGGGGAACTACTAAACAGACAGGGGCAGGGAGGGAGGGGTAGCAGGGGGTGGGCACGACACCCACAAGATATTACATGCTCCTGTGACTGATCAACAGTTCAGATAAACATCATCAGGTCAGACAGTGCACATGTGAATACCAAAGAGGCTGACCCAAGAGAATAACCACATCCGTTGGTGGGCATTAGTCCTATAGCAGAGAGGGGCACCAGTGCATGTGGTGCTGGAGGTACAGCTTGAGTCAGACGTGAAGAGGAGTGAAAAAGACACAAATACTGGCTGAAGGAAGAGTGAAGTTGTAGCAGGTGACATTGCCCCTTCCCTTGCTGTCCATATGGAGTGTAACATGGACATCTCATTTTTGCAGGTCTTTGGTGGAACAGAGCAGAATTCAGGTGAACTCTCAGCAGGAATTGCTTTGGACTATGAGGTCTCCTGTAGAGGACTAAGTGAAACCAATCTCAAAAGTTCCGGAACAGTCTGACAGTGTAACTATCACAATTCACTTCTGAGCTACATAAACAGCAAGGTAATTAAGTGAAAGACAACTGATCCTGTAACGTTAGCATCCAGGCAAACTGAGACTGCCTGGGTCTGATGAAAAACCTACTGCCTCCTGAAGGGTACAGTCTTTAAAAAGTCACCCAGCAGAGAGACCTAAAGTGGTCAAAAGCATGGCGAGCCCATGCAGAAGGGGAAAGGAGCAGATTTTTTTCTGTCATTATTAAAAAAGTGGAAATAACCAAAAAGAGATAAAGAACAGTAAAATAAAAAAAGAATGGGGATGTCCACTAAAGATACTCAGCAGAAAAAGGTTCAAGACTGGAAGACCAGAATAAGAGAAGTAAAGAAGGAGCTAAATAAACCCATCTTCCTATACTGAATTAATTAAAGTCCAATTAGGCTCCACTGCATTATGGCACAAAGTTTTCTCCCCTTATTTTAGGTAAATATACCTTTACATTTTAACCAGGACTAACAGCTTCCTTAACCAATATAACATAACATTAGCAAACCTAATTACTGGAGTCTTTTTTGTTAACCTAACTCTATCGATTTTTCAATTGCAAATGGAGGAAAGGCATAGAGAAGCTGATTTAATCCAAGAGACTAACTTATTCATGTTGAAGTGAAGATAAAGAACAAGAGACACATAGTAGATAGGGAAGATAGACAGACACAAGACTATACAAGTAGGAGAGAAGAAAAAAAGAATAATAGGAATATAGCATTGTTCTTCCCTCAGGGTTCTATAAATTTGGAGCAAGTTTCATAAAGCATCATCTGCAGACATCCATTATATGCTGTGTCTTGTTACAAGAAAACAAAGGTCAAAGAATTCTTGTGCAAGTAATGTACTGAATTCTGGTCCAAGGTAGGCCAATGGAACCATTCACCTGAATAATGACTGTAAACCAAGTAAAGTCCTGCAGGACTGAATTCCCAGCATTGCAATGAGGCAATAAACTGTGTCTCTCTATATGACCTGTTAACCTAAATAACACAAGAAGATCTACAGCAGATTAAATAGACCACAGTTCCTAAAGTTAGCTGAGAAATTAGGCTGCAGTTACAGCTTACTTCAGACTCACTTTAAGCTAACATAATTACACACTGCTGCCAAAAGAAGATCACTGGCCAACCCCTGCTATGCCTCCCTTGCTCTGGGATGAGCATTCATTT